GATATGAACGGATATGTATATATGCATACAGACATGCTGATAAAATAGTATGTAGAGTGATGAAAAGATGGCATATGGATACAGAGGGAAAATAGGCAGACTACTACACATAAAAAATATGGCTTAATGGATAAATTAAGAGAAGGAAACAGTGAGACTAGTAAAGGCTAGGCAAAAAGAAATTTCAACATTCTGAGGTCAGGTCAGAGTTTAGGGTTAAATGTTTGGTATATCAAATTACTATAAATTGAGACCGGCTACGTTTCATGAAAATAGAAAGAAAATGTATTATAATGAACAGGAGCCTCTGAATGTTTGTGCGAGTGTGTACGCAGAAAAAGGTAAGAATAAAGAAGCAAATATTCAGGATGTCATCAATTTTACATCAAAGAGAGCATATACTCTGGCGCCATCCCCTAACTTCCGAAAGAGACACTTGAAGAGAGACGGTGTGTATGTGTATGCGTGCGGGAGATAGAGAGAGAAATAGTTATATACAGTCACTAAAAACATAACCTAGAGCTTTGCCTGCTAGAAGACAATTGGAAAGCTGAGGAGACGAAATCGACGACAGCCGAACAGCTGGCCCTGGCAACAGATAGTCAAATTAAACAAGATTTTTGGTAAAATTAAGCTCGGCTTAATCGGGTAATTCGAGGCGTGATGCAAACTGAGATCTCTAGGAGGAGCTGAGCCTCTATCAGAGTATGCCAGTCAAAAGTAGGCATTCAAGTAGTATAAATGGGTAATTCATGAGGATAAAATTCGAATGTCTCAAGGCAGCCAAGCCCTCGTTGGTACCGGTCACGAACTGAGCTTGAATCATGTTGTGCTGTTGGCGGGTAGTGGGCAAGCGTCTCGTAAACCTGCAAATCAGCGAGCAACTGGCACGCACAACTACAGCCCCCGAGGCAACACAACCGGCCGATTTTTGTAAGTTAGCTTCACATATTCGAAACTCTTAGCTCTTCTGCTGGAAGGAAATGATAAAGAAAACGTTAAATCAGCCCACCAGAGCATATTCATCACGCTGACGCACACCATCGAGTACCAGACAATACCATCGGCCGCCAAAATTGCTTACATACAGCTTCTCTAAATCGCCATTGCGTCAGTCGACAGCAAATCCGGCTCTAGAATCGGGTCCCTCACTAAGTAAACAATTAGAAAATGCTCTTCTCCCAATCCAAGCAGAAATCCCATAAAGGATATTCAATGATCGTTGTGATCAACCATCCCGTTATATATTGCATCACCTTTTTATAACAGTTCTACGGATTCCGAATGTGAAAACCAAAAAATTCAGAGTCACTAATGCATCCGGAGCAACGGACAAATGCGTATAGATTATTTTTGTTACTCACAACTACTTTATGCCAAATAAGTAGGTTGCGAAATAGTCATTCGATCATGAAAGATGACACAAGTCACCTTTCTTTCAGTTTACATTGTGAGCAAATCACCAATTAACCCTTACCTCCTGGAAAGCCATGTCTATTTTGTAAGATCTACTATGATTCTCGCAACCTACATGTTTGGCATAAAATGATGTCATAAAACTATCATAGATTGAAAATAAAATTGATGTACGCCAGTCAGGCAGC